TATGGGATGAGATCCTGGAGAATGTTACTCAGGTTTCCCTCTCACCCACCCATAGACTAACGCAACTGTTCATAGTACATAGGACGTACCGTACTCCGGAATTCCTTTTTAGGATAGGCTACCGTGAGGATCCCTTCTGTCCCAAGTGCGGTTTCCATCAGGGGTCCCTGATCCATTTACTATGGCGCTGCCCGAAATTGGTGCGTTACTGGACTCAGGTCGTGCATACGCTTAATTCTGTCTTCAGTGTCCGCCTGACGCCCTCTCCACTTATGTGCCTTTTGGGTGTATTCGATGCAGATTCACAATTTGATCCTCCACTGGTGTTGGCCCTTAGGCGGGCATTGTTTACAGCCACCCGTCTCATTGTCCGTAGGTGGATCTCTCGATCTCCTCCTACGGTTTCCGACTGGCAGGAGGAGCTTGATAGAACTATTGCATTTGAGCGTATTACGTACCAAGAAAGGGGCGTCATTCATAGATTTTACTCAATTTGGTCCGAATGGTTGTCCACCCGCCCTGCTGGGGTGCCCCCTTGACTCTCCCCTTATGACCTATTGGATAGGAACGCAACCCTCTCCTGGGATGACTAAAACACTGGTGACGTGGGAGTGCAACTGGTGTGGAGGGTTTGTTTACAATTACTTTTGATATGTCTTTAAGTATTGACCCGTGCAGAGTGAAATGTGCAGTGCCTTGTGGTAGAGGCTGGTTACTATTCCCCCTTACCTTTTTTTTTTTTGTTTTTTTTTGTTTTGTTTTTGCTTTTCCCTTCCCCCCTTTTTTATATGTGTGTGTTTTTGTTTGACATCCCTGCCTTGGATACTTGCTACTGGATTCTCTGTATATGATTTTGTATTGCCATGATTGAGTACATTTATGCTGGTCATGTACAATTTACTGCAGGTGTCCATGTTTGTTGTTAAAAAATGGAAAAACCAATAAAAACTATCTGATTTAAAAAAAGAAATAGCATAGGGATACATTAGGATGCTTTTGGGTCCGGAAATGGTCTGGTCTGGAGATGATCTGGAGGTGGTCTGAATGGGCCCTAAAGGTATGCTGTTCTTTTTCTTTGAAAGCTTCATTTTTTTTTTTTTGTCTTTAAACATAGAGGTGATATGATGTGTGACTCACCAAACAGCTCTAGTTCTGTCTCATCTGTCCAAAGGATATTCTCTTAGCCCTCGTTCACACCTGAACGTTTTGTAGCGCGTTATACGCTCGACGAACGCTCTACAAAACGCTCAAAAATATCAATCCCATTGTATTCAATGGTCTCGTTCCCACCTTGGCGTATTTCCGCCCGTCCCTAACGCGCTACAAAACGGCCCATGCCTGAAAAGGTACATGTACTACTTTGGGCCGTTTTTTGTTGCGCGTTTCCATTGGGATACAGCCAAGTAGCCTTCAGAAACGCGCGACGGTCGCGCAAATTTTTTACCGCGAATCGCGGTAAAACTCGCGACGGACGCGCATATGCAATACGCCTAGGTGTGAATGAGACCTTAAGTGCTGTGGCTTGTCAATATGCATTTTAGCATATTGTGGTCTGGCTCTATTTTTATCTTATAACAGTGGAGTCCTCCTGAGTCGTCTTCCTTTAAAACCACTGCCACTCAAAAAAACAAAAGCATGTGATCAGACCTTGATAAACCATGTGATCAGACCTTGATAATCCATGTAGATGGAGTTCAGTCTGTATCTTTGGAAGTTGTCCATGGTTCTTTGTCTGCCATTCGCACAATCCTTCTGTTCAATCCAGGTTCCATTTTCCTCTCTCATCCACATCCAGGGAGGTTGGCTACACACCCATAGACCTTAAACTTTTAATGTTTGCAGCTGTTTTCTCCCTGGAACAACATGCTGCTTAGAGATGTTCCTATATGCTTTACCTTTGACATGCTGGTCTATAAGTTTCTTTCTGATGTCCTTAGACAACTTTTTCCTTTGCTCTCTCTGGTCCATGTTCATTGTGGTTCACGCAATGATGCCAAACAGCAGAGTGAATACTTTTCTCCATTTTAGTCGGCTTGTTAGGAAATTGAAGACGTTCGATATGAATTATTGAAAACACTTGGAAATATCACTATGATCCAATGATTTGGAACACTTTCTGCCCTGGCCATTTTAGAATACCTTTGCAGATTAAGCAATTGTTGATCTATTTTTACAGTCTTTGCTTTACTTACCAATGGCATGCAGGTAAACGTGAGGCAATTGCTTTTCATTTCACAACTTTTCAGGAGGAATGACACATTGTTTCAATGAGCTGTATGGGGTACCAACAACTTTGTCTCATTGAACTCAGAACTGCATGTTTTTCCTCATTTATAGAATTAATACTGAGGTCACTGGTTCATCATGACAGCCAATTTGAGTACAAACCTCTACACGTTCTCATTACAGTAGACTAGAATCTTAGAATTGTTTTCAGGTTAGCATTCCTTTGATAAAACCATCTTATACGCTATAGCTCAGTAATACAAAGTACATAATACAAAGACAAAATTGTTTGGGTGTAATGAAAAAAATCAGTTTTCCTTTCACTGTCGCATCCATAACTGTCTCCACTTTAGAGTCTGAATCAGTGCTATGCTGTTCACTTGTGCTGTTACTTGGTTGTGTCTGGAAGTGGGTGCAGTGTCTGTAGACTGTTCCAAAACAAACATTGTCCCAGATTCAATATTACGTTGTTTCCACGAAAATAAGACACTGTCTTATATTTTTTTTTGGCTCAAAAAAACACACACGGTCTTATTTTCGGGGTAGGTCTTTTTTTTTTTATGTAAAACAATCCAAAGTTAGTGCAAATCCAAATTAAATAATCCAAAATGGCAAAGTTAAGAATAGGGTGATCAGGGGTGCTGTAGCTTTCCAAGAGCATTTTGGTAACCAGAATGAGCGAAGCACGCTTTCACTATGGATTCCTCAGAGGCGGAGTGCATTTGGTATCACTCCTCCTGCGAGCCGGCGCTATAGAGGAAACATTGGCTTATGTGGCTCTGCTCCCTCCGCTGCCGCCTCGCTTCTTCTAGCGCTGGCTTCGTTGGCACCGCTGATTCTCTCCCGCGGCGCTTCAAGTTCCCCCTTATGCCCCCACCGGCCCTGGGAAAGGTCGCAATTAGGTCTTATTTTCGGGGTAGGTCTTATATTTTAGCAATTCCCAAAAATGGTACTAGGTCTTAATTTCGGGGTAGGTCTTATTTTCAGGGAAACAGGGTAGGTCCCTCCTAGTCTAGCCAGGAGAAGGTCATAAAATAAGCTATGCCAGTTGTGTATCATCTGAAGAATTGATTTAAACCAAACCCATCTACTATAATGACTGCTGACATATTTGCTGCTGCAGGTTACATGTACTTTTTTTATGATTAACAGATAAAGATGTCATCTACATGTGCCCATTCAATGGTCCAGTAAAAGGGAGGTTATTTGTCACGAACTATAAATTGTTCTTCAAAGGTGAGGAGCCGGTAAGTTAAGCCCACCATTTTACCCATACAACCATGCTGCAACATAGTGTATGTGTGTTGTTGTTGTTTTTTTAATGTTGATCTGGCAGGCAACCATTTAATTCAAAGCCATGATACAAGAGTTGCACTATTTTTCAGTTGGGCCATACATGCAATCAATTTCTGGGTTTGTAGGAGCATCAGAATATTTATATGGAAGGTTTGAAAAACGTTATTTCCTTTTGAGTGGTTGGATTTGTCTATATTTGCTGTGTATAGCTTGAGGAAATGTGGAGGGGAACTTTTATAAGCAGCTTACATAGTGCTCTACAAAGGAAGCTAGTATACATTGATAAACCTTTGGAATTCTTTAGAGATATACATTTGTGCCATTTAATTTAGTGGTGAGACAGTTTGCCATACCTTCAGGAATGTGAATTTCTTCATGCTTGGCTTCTAAGCCCTCATTCACACTAGAAATGGCCGGCATGTACAGCTCTGTGCTGCGTGCACGGCCGTATCGGGCAGCTCCCAGGAAGGACAGGTGCTGCGTGTTTCCTGGCTCGGACGCAGACGGGATCCATCCTGTCGGCGTCCGAGTACGCTCACCTGCACAGACGTGCAGGGTGAGTGAGTGTAGAGTGACGTACGGCCCTGTAGTCCCATAGAGAAGGACAGGGTCGGCGTACTAATCACACGCAACAACTGTCCTTCCCGGGAGCTGCCCGATACGGCCAAGCATGGAGCTGTACGTGCCGGCCGTTTCTAGTGTGAATGAGGGCTGAAAGGTCTCTGACATTCATTTAGTCCTAATTATGAGTGGGCTGATGCTTTATGGATCATTGAGAATAAGAAAGGTGAAATGGGGATCATAGGTTTTTATTTCATGGTTTGTTTTTTCCCTGCAGGAGTCATTAATAGTATTTGAAGTACCGCTTGGTGTCATAGCAAGGATTGAGAAGATGGGCGGTGCCACAAGCAGAGGAGAAAATTCTTATGGTCTGGATATAACCTGCAAAGTAAGCACAGCATGCTTTAACGCAAATTCTTCTTTTTTAAAGTATAACTCCAGGAAGATCAAAAAGTAACCCTAGCAGTGGGTCTACCCGTGCACTGCAAGAGTTAAGTGCTCCTTTTGTCTAGGGGCCTCAAATCAAACAGATTCATCCAGGATGCAGCCTCTTCTCCCCTGTTCTCCGGTCGTCTGAGGACCACTGACTTCACATCTGTTGTAGGTCCACTGACCTGCATTAGATGTGAGGACGCCGAGGGGCATTCCATAGCTAGAGCAGAGTGGGGGAGAGAGGGGAATGCCGATTGCTGCAGAACTGAGGATCAGGTGAACACCCTAGACCAGGGGTAGGCAACCTTGGCTCTCCAGCTGTGCGGAAACTACAAATCCTATAAGGCGTTGCAAGATACAGGCATGACTCCCAGAGGCAGGAGCATGATGGGATTTGTAGTTTCAGCACAGCTGGAGAGATAAGGTTGCCTACCCCTGCCTAGACAAAATAAGCAAGTTTTTGATTTTTCACAGTTATTTCTTGAATGCTTCCTGCACTTTATATTGACCTTGTTTTGTACCAGTGCTTTTGTGGGAGATGGGCATTTTCTTGGCTTCAAGTAATAGCTACATGTTAAGCTAAATACAGATAGACAACACCTTTTGTCATCCATATTGAAATGTTAAAGGAGAACTATGAGGTGAGTGCTTTTCACTTATCCTCATAGTTCTAGCCGACCTGTGACAATGAAACTGTCGCAGGTCGGCTCGCTAGATCGGGAAGTGAGCGAACACATACCGGGGACTGACTGACGGGGGAGGGACTGGATTCCCCCGCGGGGGCGGGTACAGCTGGCTCTGCCTCTAGATAGGCAGAGCCAGCTGTCACTCACGCAGCTGGGCGGATCCAGACATGATTGTCGGGATCCGTTTCAGCTGCAGCGTCTCGGTAAACCGCGAGCTGTAGCTCGCGGTACAATGACCTTTGGGTGACGGGAGGGCGCTAGTTTGTGTCCTCCCGTTACCCTAATGAGAACTAGGGGGAAAAGCCTTAACCCCTAAGGTTAACCCCTATTTTTACCTAAAGCAGTAATGTGAGGGAATCTAAAGCAGCAAACTATTAAAGCAGGCGTGTTTTATATTTCTATATGTTGTGTCACTGGCATGATGACCTCAATTCAGATAGTAGTAGGTATACAACGTTTACAAATGCTCATAGTACACGGGGCTCTTCTTTGGCCTTAGTTGATTCGGCTAGCCATTATAATACATTTTGGGCTCTCTCTGGGTCTTTTTGTTTTTTTCTCAGCTGTTTTTTAGTTTAACTAAAAATATTTTGTTTTAAAGTTGAGGTAAAATGGTCATGAAAGATATGAATTCTACTGATTTCCAGTTGAAAATGTATGGCCATTATTTTACCACATAATGCATAGAACAGTGATGCCAAAACTAGATGTGTGGTTAGGCAAGAAAAAAATGTGTTTGCTATGGCTGACTGCCTCTTACTTTTTAAGCCCAAACTGCTTCTTGAATCATCTGAAGCCAAACTCTGAAGATGCTTACATAATCTGAATTCAGCTGTCTGTAAAGTGGATCCTCTCTTGATTATTGGATATGTTCCAGCAGTTAATTAACTGTGCTGTTTCTAAAAAAAATAAAATAAAATATTTTAAAAAATAGATTTGTTCAGTGTAATCATTGTTAGTTCATGCTAATAAACATGCCGGAGCAACTACAAAGGGTGTTCTAGTTTGCATACTTGGCTTTCACTGGATTTGTATGAAAATGCCTGGGTATTTCCATGTGTCTTGTATCTGTCTTGTTTTGAAAAGTTTTTTGCATCTTTTTTTCCCCCCCCCCAACCTAGGACATGAGGAACCTGCGTTTTGCACTGAAACAGGAAACGCATAGCAGAAAACAGATATTTGAGGATCTAACGAGACACGCCTTTCCCACATCACATGGCATGGTATGTATTCTCTTTGCTAAGAAACCACAATTTGGTTTCTGATAGTTTCGCTTTCTGACATTGTCTATGAATGCCACTTTAGTTACTTTGAACATGCAATATATGGGTTTTTCAGCAAGAATTTATACAATTGTATTTTCGTTAAAAAAAAAAAAAGGTAATTCTACTGTTCTGGCAAAAAGTGTACCCCTAAAAAAACAAACTGAACCATATTGTATGAATTCTAAAAATTTCTATATAAATGTCTCACTCACTGCATGCCTACAAATGTATTGCTCTCTGCCGTGACAGGGGAGGGGCTGGATTCCCCCCCGCTCCGATCCGCCAGCGCTGACTGGCGGAATGGACGGGGGAGGGGGCGGGTACAGCTGGCTCTGCCTTTAGATAGGCAGAGCCAGCTGTCAGTCACGCAGCTGGGCGGATCCCGGCACAATTGTCGGGATCCGCTTCAGCTGCGGCGTCTCAGTATACCGCGAGCAGCTGCTTGCGGTATACTGCGGCGTCTCCGTATACCGCGAGCTACAGCTCGTGGTATACTTAGCCTAGGGTGACGGGAGGACGCTAGTTTGTGTCCTCCCGTTACCCTAAGGAGAACTATGGGGAAAAGCCTTAACCCCATAGTTCTCCTTTTAAAGGAAAACTATGAGGTGAGTGATTTACACTCACCTTCATAGTTAGAGCCGACGTGTGGCAATGAAACTGTCACACATCGACTCTATGGCCGGGAAGTGAGCGAACACATACCGTCTCTGGATCACTTCCTGATCATCTCCTTGCAGAGAGCCGTGACTGTTAGTCACCGCTCCCTGCAGGGATTCCCCCTCTCCCACGATATACTGCGCTTTGGATCACGGGAGAAAGTTAGTATATGTCCTTATGTGACCCTAAAGAGAACTATGCGACGAAAAGGTTACCCCATAGTTCAGTTATCATTTTTCAAAACACGTAATCTCCTTTAATACATTTGTGGACAGCATGCACATTTGGAAACATAATTATTCATATTACCTAAACCCGTTGTTTTTTTTATTTGTCCCCCTGTGCCCGGAGAGCTGTTATTACGGACCAGGCCCATGTATACATTGCAGGTTGCTACCAACGCTGCATTGTATTAAATTAAAAACAAATTTCAAATGCACAGACCTCTGATGTTCTTGTTGTCAGTCAATCCTGATCTGCAGACAAGTTGCTCTGTAGACATCTGAAGGTAAACAAAAGAGTTCATGTGTTTTTAAAAGTACAGTTATTATTTGAGCTTCCTGATTCGTGGACTCTCGTCTCTTTAAAGCAGAAACTTGGCATTCTCTTGACTTTTGAAATCGGAATTTATGAAACTCTTGGGTATATGCAAGCAGTTATTGGGTGAATTTCCAGAGTGCACAGATAATCTTTTTTTCCTTTGGTAAAATGGCTAGATGGCCTTTGGAATTTGGCCCCAATAATGTAGATTTGCATAAGTTTATTTAGAACTGTAAAGCTGTTGTACATTTATAGCGGACTTTTGTCCCATTTCTCTAAAAATCACCTCCGCATGCAGATCTGTATGCTGATATAAAATCATCTTGCAGTAATTTAAACAATCATTTGTCTTTTACTTACAATCATTGTTTTTCCACTTCCTGGTCCTCGTGGGTATTAGTGATGCAATGTGTCCAGGCGTTGCATCCTGGGAAGATTACAGCAGCAGAGCATTGCTGGGAAATCTCATCTGTAATCTCATGTGATCTCAGGTAAAGTAATTTTCCTCCTTCGAGATGATGTGCATGGTCACATGTCTTAGTAACATGTGCCAGAGTTCCGGGACTTAAAGGGAGATGGATTCATCTGCCCTTATTAAAAATGGCCACTGTGAGAAGAATAGAGAAGAAAAAAAATAAGGTATGCAAAGAATGGGGAGGAAAAAAACAAAGGTAAACAGGCAATTCTCTATATCTGTTTGTAGATTGTCATTACTAAACACTTCTAAATGTTTATTTGTGGTCATTACAAAGATATGGGTAAAGTTCCTCTTTAAAAGTAGTGCCACCTCTTATTTAATAGTCTCCAGTCAAACAAGCACACTGTCTCCTCCGAAATGAAGCAAAGAGTTGGGTGCGGGGTGACAAGGTAACATATCGTGATATAACCAGAACACCACACTGGAACTGAAAACAGGAGCACGTGTATGCTGTGACTGTGTTCCCTCTTTTGCCCTCCTGCACTCTTCTGCCCACCCCATCCACACCCTTCTGTGCTTTGTCTGGTTAACATGAGCACCACTTTGACAACTTGTACCCCTGCCTGTTGCAGGTGTCAGAGCTGGCTCAGGGGGCACCACACTAGTGGCAGAATCGGTTAACAATATGACAGCCTTGTCCTGATCTGTAGAAGAGGAGCCACTGTCTACACCTGATGCTCTGAGCGAACCAGCTGTCACCAGTGGAGCCCTGCACACCACAGCGACAAAGCAACTCTCCCACTATAATGTACGGAGCAAAGTTGTCACTTTGACAGCTGCTCCCCTTTGGGCATCATCAGCTCTAATGGCAGCTTCCCATACACGAGTACGACAAGACTGTGACATTCCTGGCTCAAGTACACCTAAATGTGCATGGCTGCACTGCAAATCTATGTCTGTATATTTAATGTCTCATGCAACTGTGACCCAATTTTGAAACTTTCCAGGATGCTATTGTGCTTCCAGTCTGTGATATGAGAACAGTTCAGGTTTAGAGTACCTTTTGTTTGACCTGCGATGCTATTAATAGTTCAACAATAAAGGCACATCCATCTAATACATACCACTGTCTCCAATATCACAATTCATTATTTAGAAGCAGTATATATCAACAAAACATGTTGAAAATGGGATATAAGGATATTGAATTTCCTGGTCTTCTACCACAGGTTACAATTTTATTTTTTTCCTTTGCTAGTCTTCAAACACACAGACATATCTGGAGGTCATTGACATTATGGCTTTTATTTATGAAACTTGTAAAAACCAGTTATGTGCAGTTAAGTGCAGCAACACCTCACCAGTCAGCTCTCAGCAGTGTAGTACTGTCAGGCTTTTTTTGTCTTTTTATTAAGACTATTATGGTTTTGTCTTTCTTTTTTTTTTTTTATGTATTTTTTTTTAATTGATGCGTTTGATCTTTGTGGCATTTATGTAAAATCTTTTTTTCTACAAATAAACATTTAATAAATGGCACACGCCCATGGCACATGATTCAGAGCACATTTTTACCAAAGAGCCCAGTAGAAGCTGTTTTGTCCCAAGACTTCCTCTCTCTGATTTTAAACTTCCGTTGAAACCTGTTCTTTTCCTGGGTGGTTTAGCCGATATACGGCTGAAATCAGCCGTACCAGCCTGAAGTGAATAGCCGAACGGTGTTCGGCTCACTTCACTTCTGATCGGTCATTCACTCGGCTGCCCTCGGCAGCTTTGTGAATAGACCCCAAAGTCTGTAATGCACACAGGGCTGAGGTCGACACGCATGAAACCCCATTTGTCTGTAGCAGAGGCACCAGGCAGAAATATGTGCTTTTAAAGGAACATCTTACAGCTTTTTACAAGGCATTTTCAGTACCTTTGCACAACAACGTAAAATAATTGCAAGCTTTAGTGCCAACAAAAATTCTGTGTGCTTTATTTGCATACAAATAGGTTTATGACATATTCAGCATTTTCAAAATATGAATACTTTTACAAGTTTGTGTTTAACAGCACTTCTGTTTTTAATAGGATTTATTTCACCACAGAACCACTCAGTGGCATGAGAAAAATGTTTGCTTTGATTTTAATGGCGTAGTAAAAGGTTTCTGTCCTAGTCCTGTTAGTGGTCCCTTGCCTCTAGAATAGCAAATCTCTGCACCACGGACAGGTTCTAGCCCATCCCCACTTAAAAACAAACAAAAAATAGCTTTCTTAATTGTACATGACAGGACACAGAATGGTATTCTTAACCTCCCTGGCGGTATTCCCAAGTGTAGCTCGGGGTTACTTTTCCATACCATAAGCGGTAACCCCGAGCTACACTCGGGAAAGCTGCATAGCATTTACTTACCTTGTCCCTCGAGCCGCAATGTGTTCTGCGGCCGATGCCGGGTTCCGCCGCTTGCGAGCGTACGCGTCGCAAGGGGGCGTAACCGGCGGGATATTTAAAAAAAATAAATAAAAAAAAACGACAGACGAAAAACATTCGAAAAAAATAGACCGAAAAATGACATGAAAAAAATTAAAAATCATACCGCCAGGGAGGTTAAGCATAGGTTATGCCGCCACGTTCAGGAGATTGGGCACTAGTACAACAAACCCCGATGGACAGCCCAGTATAACCCCTCCCACTCCCAGGATGCCTGCCTTTTTGCTAGTGTCCTTAGGAGAACAGATGCCTTTTCTCAGTTTCAAGAGAAGCAAACCATTTTCTTTTTGTTCATTTTTCTTTAATCAACATTCCTATCTGGTACATAGCCACTGCAGCACCCCGCTTTGCAGCTTTTTGGATTAGTTATTTCTTCAGCTGAGCCTTGGGATGGGGAAGGGGGGGAGAGGGACCGTACCTGGACCCCACCAGACAGAATGAGTGGAGCCAATTTGTAATGTTGGTTTGAACACTGATTCCTGCATGGGGCGGTTAATTAAAGGAGCCATGGCACTTTAAAATATGTTGCAGCAGTGTAAACCCGTTGCAACCCGCCATTCTGGCAGAGTAGGACAAGAAGGTAGTGTCTGGATCATCCTGTTCACCTGTCCAGCAGGATCATGCTTGCCCTGACAGTAGTTTGGTGGGTGCTCAGAAGGAACAACAGTGGGAGAGGAGTCATAGGTAGCCTGTCTGTACAAAGGACTTGGCCGTCAGAGGAAATTTCTCCATCCTGATCAACGTTGTGGAACTCGGGATGATTTGGTTATTGCTTCAATGCTACTGATCCCACCAGGGAGCAGTTGGGCCACACCAAGGAGGTGGCTTACAGTGACCATCAGGGAATAGTCAGATATTTCACCAATTACAGGG